ATCAAGCCGATCGCACACACACACACACACACCTGGTTCACTATCCTTGTGGGGACTCTCCATGGGCGTAATGGTTTTTATACTGTACAAACTGTATTTTCTATCGCCCTACACCAACCCTACACCTAAACCTAACCCTCACAGAAAACTTTGTGCATTTTTACAATCTCAAAAAATCTCATTCTGTATGATTTACAAGCGTTTGTACCCATGGGGACCTCAATTTAGGTCCCCACAGTGACACAAGTCCCCATGAGTTGGTGTGTATTCAGGTTTAAGTCCCCACCAGTATAGAAAAACATGAACACACACACACAGTTTCCAGCATGCAGTGTTCCAAGAGCAGCAGTAGGCTGTAGTTTTATCTGCTGATAGAGAGAGTGAGGCTCTAAAGGTGAAATCTTGACAATCAAAGAGAGTGGAACAAGATGAATGGTCTGTCTCGCACAGATACCAGGTGCACTTGAATAAAACAGACCTGTCTGCTGCATTCAATGGAAGAATGGAGAGGAATGCACCCAAGAACACGTTCAATGCGGCTACAGCTAACCGTTACATCAATGCTGTTGTATTGCTTGTTTTATCCGCTGTGACTTTCCGGTCTTGGTTAATTTAAGAGGTTTTTAGAGCAGTTCAGATCATCTCAAAGGTCTGTGGTTTTATTCTCTTGTAACATTACAAACTCAAGGTTCACTGTGTCACATTTGTGTGACACTACAAATAAAAAATGTAGCAGTCACAGGTTACCATATCAAGCTATGCCACACAACATCACTAGGATGTTGAAAAAAAAAAAATCCTTTTGAGATGCAATTATGTGATTCACAACTAGTCGACACAGGCCCTAAAACTAAAGCAATCAACTAGTAGCTGTTTCTGAAAATTGTTCACTGTTTGAGTAAATACTTAAATATGCATATTTAACACATTTCCCAGTACTACAAAGCATTTGGCAGTACAATTTTACTAAAAATAATGGAATTTAAAAAGTTTCAGTTTTAGCCAGCCAAATTCAAATGAGTCCCTTTACTTAACTTTCCCAAGTACTTAATACTTTCAGCAGGGATGCATTCAATTTATCAAAAGTGACAGTAGAGACATTTATAATGTAACAAAATAATTATATTTCAAATAAATGCTGTTCTTTTTAACTTTATATTCATCAAAGAATCCTGAAATAACGGTTTTCACAACTGTTTTCAACACTGCTAAATCAGCATATCAGAATGATTACTGAAGGATCATGTGACACTGAAGACTGGAGTAATGACTGCTGACAATTCAGCTTTGCCATCACAGGAATAAATTACAACTACATGTTTATGATCAAATAAATTAAGCCCTGGTGAGCATAAGAGACATCACAAAATCATACCAATGATTAACATATTCATACAGTATGCCATGGTATTTTCATGGTACTCCAAGCAACATCAAAAGAATACCTACCATGCTATTCTTTTGAAGTGCCTTGGATATGGTGATACAATTGTTGTATAATTCCAAATAAATAGATTATGATCCACAAATAAATGTAAAGAGATTAACAAAAATTAAACATTGACAAATAAATAGAATGAGCTCCACAAATAAAACTTCACAAACATGTTTCACAAACATGAATTAAATTCACAAATAAATAAAATGAGATTTGCAAATAAAATCCATTTTCACAAATATATTTTTATGTCACAAACACAACTTTGCCTGGCATTCATTTGTGGATCGCTCCCAGTACATAACTGTCCATAACAGTACATAACTCGAAAGCAAATAAAAAATCATTATAATCAGCGATACGGTCTACACTGGACGGGGAGCGACACGATGAAGGACAAATGATTAGCACATTTACTTTGATGCGTCCCGTTGCAGTTACAGCTATTGCATTGCAGCGCGACAGCGGACGGGGTAGACACGGCATTAGACATATCACAATGGCTTATTCAGCCTTTTAAAGTACAATCGTGGTGGCAAATAGGCATAATAACACGTACAATATCAAATATGGGCCCAAATGACCATCTGGGTACCAGCCTCAGCATCACTGCAGCGTGTACCGGGGATTTGTGATTGGACGATGCAAATAAAAAAAAACGTGCATTTACTTTGGATGCTGTTAAGTAACTTTTACAATCAAAACTAGTAAGTCTGATACATATGAAATATTGTTTGCTTGATCAAGTGTTTTAACCAATAAATATCTCGTCTTGCATTTATATTCAACACACCTGCACCACATTTAAAAAAGAACCCACGTATATTTTTTCCTCTCCAAACAATGGCAATAACTTTGTAATACTTTTAAATAATGTTTGAAAATATTATTTATAATGCTTTATACATCGTTAAATCCACATAGCTGCTCAAATATTTTGTCATACATTTTTGTTAATCTCTTTACATTTATTTGTGGATCATAATCTATTTATTTGGAATTATGCAACAATTCTATCTCCATACTTGGGAGTACCATGAAAGTGTGATATGTTAGAGTAACAATTCAACTAAATAGATTTAATGGTGTGGCATGTCTTTTAACTCTTTTCATCATAATCTTTTTCCCCTTTCTCAGCGCTTCAGGCAGCTGCGGCAGCAGTCAGAGATCAGTGTGAGCAGGCCCAGAAGTGTGTTCAGGTGTGCTTTCTCTCAGGCGTCCCCCTCTCCTCTGATGTAGTGCCGTTGGCTATGGTTCCCCTCGGCTTTGGGTTACCCTGAGCCTCTGGGGTTTGATCTACTCTACTACCCTACATGTAGAGGGAAAGAGCTGATAAAAGAGCCCACTTGATTGGCCATTCAGGCCGGGTGTGCAGGAAGAGGCTACTGTTACACAACGCCAGATGCTGGGATAAAAACCTTGGATGCATTTGAGAGTATTTAGACAACGCCAACAAAGTATGCGAACAGAGCATTCTCATATTGGTGTACAGACAGTATATCAATAAATAGCAAAAATAAAATTAACTTGTATTATACTACGGGGCCGTTGAATGCTTGAATCTGATTGGTTGACGAACGTTCTGAGGTGTGCAATTATTTTCAGGGAAACGCACAGCGAACGTAGTTCCAGGCAGCTCTCTTGACCGCATTACAGTTCCATATCACTTCGTATAGTTAACTGTAATAACGGAAATTAGCATACAGTACCTATACAGCACACAGGAATTACTGCAATCACACGTGCTCGCACACGCACACTACGGTCACGCAGTTTGCACAAAAAGGTGTTGTCAGCGCTGCCCTGACGATTTTATCAGTTAGCCTATATAGTGTAGCAACTTAAAGGCTACACATGACATTTCTCACTAGCGAGGTAATAACAGCGCTGTTTAGAGACGCTGCTGCAGAACACTGTTGAGGGACGCACAGAGGTAGCCTAATTCACACAAGCTCTCTATCTCTCTCGCTTTCTTTCTCTGTGTCTCTGTCTCTCTCGCTCTCTTTCTAATAACTTCATTAGAATGCTATCAACGGCTCAAGCCTCCATTACCAGCTTTAAAATGACGTTTTGGAACTAGCAAAAGAGGCGTTGGATGAGATGCGGAAGAAATAATCCTACTCACAATAGCGATTTAAGTACAAAAACCGGACGAATCCCTTTAAATATATCATCTGATCCATGTCTTGAGGTGTGGTAACCGTAGTATAAGAGGAATAATTGACTCCGGGCCGTTGAATTATTAAAAAATAATGCACACCCGACTGTAACAGCCACTCTGCTTCGCGGCCGCATCACCACCTCGGGTATGCATTATTTTTATAATAATTCAACGGCCCAGAGTCAATTATTCCTTACTTACCTTTGAATGAAAACTATACAAAACTATTATAAACACACACGTATTCTGTCTAGACCTCAGGACTTCTGAACTCTCTGCTCACACAAGCATTTGTAGATGTTTTTAAACTGCTCTTCCTCACAGGTGACACAAATAGGGCCTATTAGGCCTCATTAGGAGATTATGAGGCGAGAAAAGAGCAGAGACCTGTGGTGCCCCAAGGCCTTATGGAGGTGTAGAGTTTCCAGCCCCATGCTCACCCTAATGAACACACACAAACTCTTAATGCTCAGATTATGGCATAGATAGTGTAGAGCCCCAGGCAAGAAAAAGGGTGGTCTGTGTGTGTTTTATATCACCTGACACATCCAGAGCCCCAAGGATAAGGATGGGCTATGTGTGTGTTTTTAGCTTAGTATAGTTTGAGGCAAATTTGCTTAAATAAAGAGAGTTTATTCCTGTGATGGCAAAGCTGAATTTCCAGCAGCCATTACTCCAATCTTCAGTGTCACATTATTCTTCAGAAATCACTCTAAGGCTATGTTCACACTGCAGCAGAATACAGTATACAAGAGAGTCACTCTGTGCCGCACATAGGCATATCAAGGGAATGTTGTGGGTTTTCAAACGTGGTTTGTGCATGACAAATTTTCCACTCTCATTCGGGAATAAAAACTGCTGTTGGTTTATGAAGATTTGGTGGATAAACTCACACATTGATTGGACTTTTGTGTCAAATGTGACAATACTTTTCAGTTTTATGAACATCACCATCTTCGCTACGGTTACAGGTGACAGACATGAACAGAATGAGCTTGACTCCTGTTGCATGTTCATAAAGAAGCCGCTACTGTAAGCTGCTTTGTGAATAGGTCATTTTGAGCACTGCAAGGAAACGGGTCTGTCAATCCCAAACACTGAGAGTGTGAACATAGACTAACATGCTGATTTAGTGCTCAAAACAACAACAACATTTCTTTTTTATTATCAGTGTTGAAAACTGTTCTGCAGCTTATTATTTTGGTGTAAACCGTGATACATTTTTTTCAGGATTCTTGTTAGAAAGAAAGTTATGCTAGAAAGTAAGTTAAGACAGAAAGAACATTTTTTGTAACATTATAAATGTCTCTGCTCTCACTTCTTATAAATTTAATACATTCTTAAAAAAAAAACAGCAAAAAACAGTAGTGTAAATAAGCATGTTTGTGCTGTATGTTTTACCTCTCCTGACATATCCGGGGCCAGAGGAATCAGAGGCCATAGTGAGGAGTAGATGCCAAAGAAGACTACCCACAATCCAATGCTGCCCCAGATGGCAATGTGACTGAACTATAAGCCAAAAAAGATTAGAGAAAACACACAGTGAGTTCAGGAGATACGTCATTCTGCTGATAATACTGGCAGTCTGACACTCAAACAGCAGAAAACCTCATCTGAAAGACGTATTATAATTTTAAACTAGTGACATACATAACAACAACCCTTAACACACATGAATTTTACATGAACACATGCTAAATCACAAATGTGCACATATGGGAGCATGTTACACACGTGTTTTTGTTTAATCACATCATCAAGCATTTGAGGCTTGAAATTTGCACATGTGAAACATTGGAACCACATGTGAATGCTCCAAAACCACACAAACATCGTGTGATTTTGTGAAAATTACACTTGCAAAAATAGAGTGCAGTGAAAAAGACTGAATTTTTAACATGCATGCATTTAACATTTTTTTTTATGGCATACATATATAGTAGTACACACAACACACACACACACACAAATAGTCAAAAGTTTGGAATTATTAAGATTTTAATGATTTTGAAAGAAATTTCTTATGCTCACCAAGGCGGTTAAAATTTCTAATAGTAATAAAATTTAAGCAACACTGCACTATAATTCCAGCGACTTAAGACTGGTTTTGTGGTCCAGGGTCACAAATGCTATTGACAGAGCGTAACCTGTATTGAATAAAATTGTTTTCAAGATATTCTTCAATCTTTGACAGAATTTAAATGTAAAAAGTGTTGTAAAAAACATTCTCTAGGATGTCCTGTTAGGGTCAGAGCCATGGCCTAGTGGAGCTGTGGTGCTCATGTGGGTCATGCAAGTTTGCATCGGACCTCTTTACGGATTTCTACCCTTTCTCCCCATTTCCCATCCTCAAGAAAGTGGCCAAAGGCCAAAATAGCATTTATGCCCATTTAATCTGAATCAACAAACTTGTAACAAACTTATCCTCTTCTTATGACACACCTGTGCTCCAATGGTCATGTGCATAAACGGTAACAGTGGGTGTAAAAAGAGCTGTTGACAGCTGTACAGAGAGGTTTGGAAAAGAGATCTCCCCAAATCATTGAGGATTAATTGACCGTAGAGACAATCTCGGTTTTCTTGACTTTTCAGGATGATAGCTATTGGCTTGTGCTAATTGCTTCAGCAAACATCTCCGATTAAATGGTAAAGGCTACTTAAAATCTGGAAAAGCCACTCACAAAAGTGCACACATGGCAGTGTGGTTTAGTGGAGTATTAGTCATTCTCCGATTGTAAGTGAGAGCGGATGATCCAAAACCATCAGCGCTCTGGCACAGCGAAACACAACGGACACCACATGTGGATCAGGAAGGTATGTGTGTTTCAGTGTGTGTGTGGTGCTGACAGGCTGTCAGTCAGACAGTCTCCAGTGCTTTGTTTAAAAAGCAGGTCTGATTCTGACTGTGTGGTCCTGCAGTCAGCCAGATAATTGTGCTGACACACACACACACATAAAATCTGTTCACATGCTTTACACACTCCTTTGTACATGCTTACACTTATGAATACATGTAAATAGCAATGTATAGACCATAGAGCAATTTACTAAATTATACCAAAAGGAATGCTGTCATTATTTACTGTAAAGCTTCGAAATTATAAAAAAGAAAAGGCCAAAATTGTTAGTTATTGACTAAAATTGGCTGTTTTAGCTCTCCATGACATGTTCATGAGAGAAACAGTGATTTGTGAGTGAGTCATTATGAGCTGAATCTTTAAATGAATCAGTGGATCACGTTCACAAAGTTTAACTCACTAAATCTGAATAATCTGTTCACAAAGATTATCAGTGAAAGATTATAAGTAAACCATGAATTTTTTTAAATATTAAATTAAAATTAGGCCCATTTCGTCACACAAAGAAATCATATGGCTTAAGATCTGGAATATAGTTCATAAGATGTATAGACTGTTTTTATGATGAATTTATAGTGCAACGTTTGAAGCTTGACAGCCACAGTCCTCATTCACTTTCATGACAGTATATTAAAAAAGTAAGTAATAAATATATTTTTCAAAACTTCTGCTTTGTGTTTAATGGAAGAAAGTCATACAGGATTGGAACGGCATGATGACGACAATTTTCACTTTTGCATGAACTATTGCTTTTAATGAGTATGTGGAAATGGAGAAAAAGAGAGTGTGTGCTTTTGTGTATATGAGTGATCTTGAGATATTCATGGTGGCCAATGAGAAGCAATTAAGCTGAAGCGAGAGAAGACACGTCTTTCAATATGACACCCACTGACCTCAAAAAAAACAAAACTAAAAGTAGTGTGAGAGAGTGTGTGTATGTGTGCTTACCGTGCTGGAAGGCCTTGAGGGGAAACCAGAAGAGGATGACTGAGTGAAACAGACCGTTCAGACAATGAGCCCAGAAGACCTGCAGCAGAGTGTAGGAAAAAAAAGAGAGAGAAGAGAGGCATGAGAAAGACGATGGCCACCCTAACCCTGCCGGTGACCTCTGACCCCGGGCCTTTGTGTGTTCTCAGCGCTAGGCTAAGTGGAAGGTTTGTCAGGCCTCCCTGCTCAATGGCCACCCCGCTGACATACACTTTGTATATCCTGTGAGTGAGGAGAGAGCAAGAAAGAGGGAGAGGGGAGGCGCGCCAACTATATGAGAGATGTCAGTAAGGGGTGTTTTTCTGCCATCTCTTCTCTTTTCCCTGCAGTGAGTTGCCTCATCGAATTTCCCCAATCGTTCCTTTGTGAGTTGTGAAAAAAACCCAAATCCTTAACGGATACTTTTAGTACAAACACAGACAAGTTTAAGAAATTAAGATGTATGAGTCTGTCGCTACAGTGAATGGTTATTTGGGAGCACGGAAAAACTATCGCTTACACAGGTACGGCATAAAGTCTTTGAGTGTGTGCGACTGTATACAAGGGCATGTGGACTTTGGATGTGCCATTTAAACAAATATCCTCCTCCAAAACCGCCTTGTTTTGAATTTACATTATGCATGGACATGGCCAACCAAAACACTAATGGGCGATGTAGCATAAAACAGCCGTGAAATGAAATCAGGCCAGTCAAAGGTCCAGTTTCCAAACCCCATTTTTTTTCTTGGTGTTGATCTTTTCACCTCTGCAAAGTCTGAGATTGTTCACTGCCCACAGACACAACAGATTATTCCCATATTTATAAGTAAAACAGCATAATACTTGAGCTGAGAGACAGTCAACAGTATTAAAATGTCAAATTATTATTTTTTTAAATTCACTAAAATAAATACAAATCTCTCCATATGAACAAAAACGTTACTGGAATGAACCAGATTTGGAGTGTCTGCTAGAGAGGTCCATTTTGTGAATGAAACTGGTTCTTTTTAATGAGTCATTAAATTCAAACTGGTTCACAAAGTGCTTTAAGGAATAGATCACCCAAAAATGTAACTGTCAGCTTCTATGCTAATTTTGCTCAAACACTGTATTATTTCTATCAATAAGGACTCTATGGCAATAACTTCACAATATAGTTCCACGTGAGGAAAAAGACAAATTCTTTATTCAATTATCAACACAAATTGAATTTCCTTTTAAAATCATTTTAAAATTTAATAAAATATGTATTTTACAACAAATGTTATATGAACAATGGTGTGGACGTATGGGAATGCTTACAAGTCATGCAAATGAATAAAATTCATTTCAAAATTCACTTCCCTTCAAAATTTGGGGTCAGCAAGTCTCTTATGCTACCAAGGCTGCATTTGATAAAAAAAATACAGTCAAATATTATTACAATTTAAAACGGTTTTAAAACTGTTTGACATTTTAAAAAGTCATTTATTCCTGTGATGGCAGAGCTGTATTTTTTAGTAGCCATCACTCCAGTCTTCAGTGTCACTTTTGATCAATTAATGCATACTACCTGGATAAATGTATTAAATAAACAATAAGTAAAAAAATCTTACTGACACCAAAAATGAATCTAACTTTCCAATTCCAACAGTGTGGTGGTCATGAAACCTCTTGAGGGGGATGGGATGCAGAGAAATGAGAGGAGAGTGAGAGAAAAGAGGAATATCCTGAGATTGTCTTGTTCTGTGTTGTTTCACAGAGGCCCTGTACGACCTCTCGGCCTCTCTGCCCTGACCCTCTCACCTCTGCTATCGGCAAAGCAAAACAAAGCTCAGGGCTCCGGCCCTCAGACAGTCGGCTCATCCTAAACCCACAAAACACACCGCAGAAGGGCACTATGGCACACCCCTCATATTCTTTGGAATTAGTGGTGTTTGCTAAGTTCATACTTAAAATCTAAATTTTTATAACCCATCCTGTACTAAGCTATAGGCATTAATCCATCTGCAGTGATTGCAATTGAGATTTTCACAGAGTAAGCAATAAAACACAAACTCACATAAAAAAATTAAAAGACTTGAGGACTTGAGTCATATCTATGGATAAGATATAAAGGGGTGGGATTTTTTGACCTAGCGACCATCCAGAACATCCCAGCAACTGCATAGCAACACATTAAAACACTTAGAAGACTCTAGCAACCACATAGCAATGCCCTGGCAACCACCCAAAACAAAACATGATCCAAGTGCCATGTGAAATAACCTGTTCTCACCCTCGCCCGGTGCTTTACACGCACAGTCCTGCAATGAATGCTAATGAAATCAATAAATGTTCATAATCATTTGTCACAGGGAGGCCCCAAACTCCTCCGTTTCTAAGCAGGTTGCTAAGAATGTAGGTGTGAATGGCCGTCTGTCCTGCCTGAAGCAAAGCACTGCATTCTGTGTGACAGCTTAATTGCTTAAACTAGCATGAAAGGATAAACATTATTTTGTGCCAACTATTGCCAGACGCTCTAATAAGCCTTCTCCAATTATGTTGGGCTACAAATAAAGCCAGAAAGGGACAGAATAAAAGAGAGAAAGAGGCAGAAAAAGGGAGGGATAGAGGCTGCAGTGTGTTGAATGAGTGTAATAACCACTATCCTGGTGTCTACTCTGGGCTTTCTCATTATTAGGGAGACTTTAGTGTCAAAGCTATGTAATTAAATGTGAAAGGGGACATGGTGGGTAAAGACCTAAATATTTCACACTCTTTGTTTCTCCTCAATCTAATGCATGATCTTTCACTCTCTGCTTACACAAACTTTATTTACAAATAAAGTGTCTGATCTGTACACAGATGACGTGTATAAGTCTGAAACAGGGACGCAGCACATGTACAGCTGGTCCAATCAGCAAATAAAAAGTCATTAATGTCTCCAATAACACTTCACTATA